TATATATATATATATATATCTGATTTTTAAACTCTGTAAGACTGATTTTACAAATCGGCATATCATTTCTGTATGAATGTCTTTTTATGTTAGTTTTAATTGAAAATAATTATAACGTAACAGGTTTTGTACACAAAATTTTTAACATATTATAATTGAATGAAATGTACAAGAGGCTTTTTTAAAATATGTCGGTATTGATATGTACTTATAGAATTCACATTTTCATAATATCAAATTGCACTAAGGCACATAATATATATTACTTTAGTCTCAATATTTTAATAGATTTAGGAATTTATTATGTTTATCTTAATGATATTTTTAATAAAATAATTCGAATATTTCTTTATTGATTTAAATAACATCGATTATAAAAAAATTCTTCTAATCTTATAAATTAAAATTTTTAATATTCTTAAATCTATTATATTTAACATGATTTTTGGATTGTTGTACATCTGAATGTTTGTGTGATATATTTGAAACAAAATAAAATATCATTTGTTTTTTAATCTTCGTAGTTAAAAGAATTATAAAATATATGAGCATTATTTATTGATATATTTAAAAACAAATAACTTCATTTTCGTTTATTTATTAATTTAATTGAAAAAAGAACAGAATCTTTGACCAAACTAAAACTTTAATGACCTTAGGAAAAGTGGCCTTAGGACAATTTTATAAAATTTGCTAATGTATACATAGAAAAAGTATAAAAAGTATTTATGTAATTGAAAAAAAATACAATTTCAAAACATTTTTTATGCATATAATTTTAATCAATTTTTAAACTGCAGAAGATTTAATTTATAAGAAAGATATACTTTATCTTATTATAAATTTTAATATATAATATATTTAAAAAAAATACATATATAAATACATATTTAACAATATAAAACAATATAAAAATAAATAATAAATATATGAATAAATTATCAATTTTTAAAGTTACATGCATTCTTCATCACATAAAAAGGAGAAATTGTTATATTTCTCGAAAAATAAAAAAATATAAAAAAATAAATAAATGTGTTAATATTAATGTTTATATTTCTGAATATATTTACATAATATTCCATTTAAAAATATTTGAATTTTTGAATTTTTAATTATTATAATTTTAAATCTTAATTAATAAAATTTTAAGCACATAACTTTTTCTTAATTTTTGTTATATTTTACATGTATGTACAAAAATCAAATTAAAAATTATGAGAACCACTAACAAAGAATGCGAAAGATTGATTAATCGTGGAAAGTTTTTATGCAGAATCCTAGTAAGAGAACCACTGTTTGGAATTCCTGACTACTTGGTCGACTATCTTGCGTTTTAAAGTCAGTGGAGCAACGATAGGTATTACATTATAGTATTTCAAAGCTATCTTTTGAACCAATTGATAGATTGAATTAAATTTATTTAAAATTAAATAAACTGCTCTTTATAAGCATAAATTAATAGAAAATATACCAATATAATCCAAAAGTAATTCAAATTATAAATAACTAGTAAAAAAAAAGTTTTATTTTTGAAAGCGTCCGCAAAGTATACAGATAAATTCTTTACATTCCTCACATATAACACACACATATAACATTGGTCCAAGCTCTTGCAAAGCCAGCATCTAGATGAGAATGTTACTTTTGTGATTACTCATTCGGTGACATCTGAGGAATGTGGTAAGCAAATTCGCTTCCTCCTACGCTTCACAATTTTTTTTCTTTTTATATTTTTAAAATAACAATTTTTTTATATTAAGCTATCAAAATTTTTATTTTTATTTATTATTAAGTAACTGATGTATTTTATTAATAAATATTTATAATAATATTTTTTGATAATTTTTATATATTTATATTTTATATTATGATTTTTTTTTTAAATTAAAAAAAATTATCTTTATTCTTTAATAATATCAATATAATTTATTATATTAAATTATATTAAATTATAATTTACATTTCAGCTAGAATATAATTTTTTTTCTCCATTATATGAGACAATTGTTATATTGTGGAATGTGTGGCATAGGTTGATGAAAAGAAAAGGTGCTGGATAATCCAAATGGATAACAAAAGCCCATTATGGCCCAGCATCTACAGACACAACATCAACACGAATTTCTACCATTGTGTGATGTATTATTCAACATAATTTCTCTTGCATCATATTTTTGTGACGTTGTTTTTGATTTTGCAATGGTATATGCTCTTGCTCAACATTCTATAGCTCCTCCAATTCTTTTTCCTTTAAGTGTTATGCTTATAGCAACTTCATTAATTATTTCTCAGGTAAATAAATTAAATAATAAAAAATTTCAATTTATTACAATAATAATTTAATTCCAGATTATTAGTGTACGATGGTATTTATGGGGTGCCAGAGGTAAATTAACTGGCAATACTATAACAGATTGTAGTGGAAAGAAAGAAAATGGAAATTGGACAATATGGTGTGTTTTATTACTTCATTCAACTCAAGTTGGAGTATTATGGAGATACTTCAAATTATTTATTCCAGTTAATCTTACTTATGTTAAACATGAGGTGAGAAATAAGAAAATATCTTATATATCTATCAAATATAATTTATGATTTTATTTTATTAGGTAAGAGAACTTTGTGTATTACGCCTTATTCATGCATTTTGTGAAGCTGCACCAATGTTACTTTTGCAATTATATCTGCTATCAATTGGAATTAATAATGATTCAAATAATGAAGTTGAAAAAACAAAAGAAAATGAAAGCAGAGACAATGATAAATTAGCAAAGTTGACAGCAGTATCTGCTGGTCTATCTTTGTGGAGTGTATGTTGGGCAGTGGCTAGTTTTAGCAAAGGTGCAGCACGTCTTCGTAATTTAGAACGTTTGGTATTGACATGGCTAGGTGTGCTGGCACAACTAGCATGGCGTCTAGGAACTGTAAGCGCTAGAGTAGGAGTATTAGTAGCTTATGCCTCATTGTATGGTGGACAATGGTTGTTAATTGTCATGGCTCTCCATTGGTTGTCAATGTTAATGTGGTTATTACTTACTCCAGATGGTCTTTTTCATGGTGGTGAACATTTACCTATTTTAAGAAAAACATCTTTAGCTTCACTTCTTGCATTTGTTTATATATTTGCATATGTAAATTTGCATGAAACAAATCATCGTCAAAAAATGGTGAGTTATTGATATTCTTTTTTTAATATTATTATTTTTAAAATGAATTCAATTTAATATATTTTATGTATTTATATTTATATAGATAATATTTTACACAGTAATGTTTTTGGAGAACAGTTTACTCATTGGTGTATGGATAGTTGGTGTCAATAGAACTGATTTTCTTCCACACCAACATCATCCAAATCCTGTAACTTTAGTACTTACATTATTAGCTTTATTTTTTGGTGGTATGTTTTTCATGGGTCTTTATTA